CGAAACCGAAACCGAAACTTCCTTATAAGGATCATGTTTTGAGAGAAAAATAAAGAAAACGTTATTATAATCAGTCAGTTTTATTTTTTTATCTTTAAATCACATAGCTCTGCAGTCTTTGACATTTTCACTTATTGATAATCAAATCAAAATCAACATAACAACCCCTCATTTAAGGAAATACTTTAATTGCGCCTTAAATATACTTCGCTTGGATGGAATTTAACGCGCCGAACATGACCGAGCAGAGCGCGAGAACTCCCGAACGCAGTTTCGGTTTCGGTCGTAGTTTCGGCAGGTTTGCCGCCGAAACCGAAACTCGTTTTTTTGCCGAAACTCGACCGAAACCGAAACCGAACTTTCGGTCGGACACTACTAACTCGCCCTTCATGCCTCAGAATGTTTCGTACCTTCCAATCTCTCACAGCAAGGACAAGGTTTTTTTTTAGTTTCTTATAAAAGCAACGCGAACTTATCTTTTTAGCTATGGAAAAGTTTTTCGCCCTCAGCATTTAAAGTTATAAAAAAAATATTTGAAAGAGGGTACCAAACAAATAAACATGGGGCGGGGGTAGCTTGTGCTTTCAGGTGTAATATGTAATGAACGAACTGCGCCCATTTATATATAGATAAGGCGAAAAGTTTGCCAAATGTTTTTTTTTTTATGCATAAACTTGGTGAATACATTTTTTTAACCACGTCTATCTGAAAATACCTTCTGAAATTTATCCTAAGCTAGCAAAATTCACAAAATCTTTTGAACATCGCGTACTTTATTTATTGTTTACTGGACTTACATGTCTTTATTATTCATATGGAAAAACGATTGAAAATATTTGTACGAATTTCCATACATCTGGTATTTCACAAAAGATGATGCCGGTTTTTGAAAATTACTGATGTGAACTTGATCTGGTTTATGCAATAAAAGAACTGCATTTAAGCGGTTAGTAACCCTGGAAGTACAAAATTGAAGAAAGTCAACCGGCGAAAAAACACTAGTACAGATGTTCTTAGAATTGGTATTGACTAGTTGACAACAGGGTAATTTTACAATTAAAAATAAACGTTTGTTAGCCGTTACATTCATGTACAACTACACATGTATATGATCCGTAAATATGCTATGCATACAGCCAAGGGGGGAAGTTCCACTTGAGCCCCACAATACGAATAACAAATTAATATACAAACAACCAACCTAAAGAATGCATTTGTTACCGTTCAGAAGAAAATATGAACAATAAAAAATATTTTTTATATTTAGTAGAAAATATATACTTACTTAAAAGTTGAAAACAAAAAATTTAAAAGAAAAATTAAAATGCCTGATTTTAGGGGGGTATGTAATACTAATCGTTTTCCGAATGTTCTAAACATCAACTTATAAGTTTGTAGATATACAGGTAAGGAAAAACTTTGAGCAAACATGTAGAAATTACACATTTCTTTGTAGGCATCTTTGCTTTTCATACTTACATAGATTTAGAAATATCAATTAGAGAAAATTTTTGATTAGAAAACTAAATTTTTCATCAAATCATTCTTCAGGTACGTATGTTGTACAGGCACTTATTACTCGTTAACAAAAAACACGTTTGTATATGTGTATAATAGTTTTAAACACACATAGAAATGGACAATAATTAGTACGTAATTAGTTGCAATTGGTAAGACAGCAATTACTTTGCCATTTTATATGTTCTTGTTGTTTATTACTTATACCACTAATTTCAAAAATTTGCCTATTTCTGTTCAATTAAACATTAGTTACGAAACAACGATCGAAATATATCGAAAACAACACAAAATAATTTTACAAAAATTTATGTTAGATTCAATTAATTATTATTTAATGATATTTATTTAAAAACGTTGTGGTAGATACCAATATGAATTTTGCAAATCTTAGTTCTAGAAATATTAATTTAAAAGAGTGATTACAAAAAGAGTTGTTACCATTAATGGGCTGGTTATGATAAGAAACTTTTGGGGACATTCCCCTTGTGAAGCTTCACTCCCTTTATCAAT